TTATGTTAATTAAATATTTAATTTGTGAGATATGAAGAAAATTGCACATGCATGTATATAAATAAGGATTTAAAGTTATTGTTAGGATTTTGGCAATATCTCAAGACCCATAATAAATTTGCACTTAAAAATTTTTGTGGTAGTTTTTAAAAGTACATTAGTACTTCATGTAAAAATTTGGTTTATTTGGACAGTTTAATTGTGAGATATGAGTTGTTAAAATTTAGAAAAAATTCATCTTAAGGATATACAAGGTTTTATAATATTTACATCATATTTTTTGTGACCTTTGGTATTTATGGCTTATATATTGATGTAATTGCTCCTATAAGGAAAATTTTATATATAAACTTGGTGTTTTTTTTTATCTAGAAGCTTAGTTGAGCAATTAGTAATCACCAGAAGTCTAACATTTTCTTAAGGCAAATATTCTCTACCATGACAACCATTGTAATATTGAAGTAATAATGAGTGCTTCTTTCAACCTATTTAAGGTGCTTTGTTTTTCTAATTACCATTCAAATGAAACACCTTTCTTCAATTGGTTTATCAATGAAGCAGCAATTTATAAAAATTGCCAAATAAAATGGCAATATTATCCAGCAAGGCCTAAAAATGAGCAAACTTCAAAAGCATCATTGAGGGCTGGCCAATCTTTCATTGCTCTCATCTTATTTTGCTCCATATTTACATCCTTAGAGGACACTTCATGCCCTAAAAAATAATCTCTAACTTCCAAAGTTTACACTTAGATTACTTGTAATAAAAAATACTATCTTGTAGCAAGCATAGCACTTTTTTATAGGTATTGCTCATACTCTTTAGAGATTTTACTATAGATTAGGATATTATCAATAAAAATAATGACATACTTGTCCAAAAGATCCCAAAACAATCTATTCACGTGATCCATGAAAGAAGTTGGAACATTGGTGAAGCCAAAAGGTAAAACAAGCTATTCAAAATGTTCATAGCTCATACAGAATGCCATCTTTTTTATATCTTCTTTTGCAATAGGTATTTATCAATAGCCATTGAGAAGATCTAATTTGCTAAAGATGGTTGTACCTTGAAGTTAGTCAAGAAGATCATTCATGCATAGAAGTCGATATGCATTCTTAATAGTATGCTTATTGAGGCTTCAATAATCAATACAAAATCAATTCCATTGGCCTTCTTGGATGCAAAGAATATAGATGCTTCCCATAGCAACATGCTTTCTTGAATGAGGTCCTTTTTCAAGAATTTTTTCAATATCTTTTGTAGCTCTTCAAGTTCATTTGGTATTAGGCAATAAATTAATTAACTTGTTAATTTGGTTTTAGGCAATACTTCTATTTGAAAAGATGTACCTTGATGAAGTGGCACACCACTAAGTAAGTCAATTGGAAAAATATTTCAATATTCACATATGAGTTGCTTTGCCCCTTCAACTTATTCAGTTGTCTTTTCTATCATTGAAGCAAGATTTAAAACTATTATATCGACTGCTATATTATATTTGCTTCTTCAAAGAGGTCATCTATACAAGTAAGCTTTTAGCCTCAAATTATTTTGTTACCTCTCTCAATGCAAAAGTATAAAGAATCACCTTGCTTTTATTGTCTTTGGAAGAGATCATCCTTACTTACCAATCAATTTGCATATTTTTTACCTTTAGCCATGGTATACCAAGATAATGTCATATCTAAGCTTTATTACCTTGAACTTTTCTTTCAAGGTATAGATGTGATTCAACCTCAAGATTTCTTCTTTACATGTTTCATTTAATACATTCTCTCAATCATCAACTAAATACATACTTTTTTCTTTCATCAGCTTGGTTTTAATTCTAAGTCAATTAGCAATCACAATCAAGATATAATTTTTTATAGAGCCGCAATCTATAAGTACTCAACATGGTTGTCCACTGAATCAACCTTGTATATATATTAATCAAACCTTTTGATAGTTTTCTGAGATCATGCCATTTGTCTTTGAGAGACAATAACTATCTCTAGTATTAATTTTCGGTGCTTTTATTTGAGAGCCTTATTTTCCTACTTTGCTTCTTTATCATCTTATGAGTCTCAAGATTATGAATCCATCTTCATTTGTTGGTATCTAAATTTTGATACTTTAGACAATCTCTTATCTAATGGCTTGGCTTTCAATAATAATAATAATAATATAATTTCTTATGTGCCAATATTTGTCGTATTTGTAGTATTAATGGTCCTTACAAGGCATCAATCTCCATCGACATTGGTTATCATGCTATAATATTGAATAGTGGCATAAGATTTTTTCTTATAGGTCATGCTCCATGGCTTTTAAAATCTATAGAATCCATCCTCTTTACAATCCTAATTCCCTCTTCAAATGTTTGTGGATCCCTTAATTCCATCTTTTGCTGAACTGTAGGTTTCAATCCTTAGATAATTTAATCTATTATCTTTGCTTCTAAAACATTGTCAATTTAGAGACATAGAAACTTCAATCAAAAGATATAATCTTGTACTCACTTGGATTATATAAAGTTAGCCAATTTCATCACAAGTTAATTTTTTTGCATTAATGGATCAAAATTGATTCCTAAATTTTGTCTCAAACTCCTCCTAGTTATAAAATCTACCTTGAGTTTCATACTTTTGATATCAATGTTGCCACCAAATGATTGTTGCACCTTTCAAATAGCTAGCTGCATACATAATTCCTTCATTGAAGCTTACTCCATATAGTTGGAAGTATTGTCACATATTAAAGAGCCATTGGCATACATATTATTGCTTTGAAGTTCAAGAATATGTTTCACACTTGCTTAATTTTAGCCTAGCAAATATCAATTCTAAGGATTTGAAGCTTCTATTTGTCCTTATAGAGTAGCTGTTTGGTCTAGGAGGTATTGCACTTGAGCTTCTATCTACGATGGCTTCGCTATATCTCTTGTGTTGCAAATTTTCTTACCAAACTTTGCTATCGTAATCCTTTTTATTCTTCTAATTGATTTTTTAAAAGTAGCTCATGGTAGCTTCAAAATAATAACCATAGTAACTACAACAACTGACCTCTAGCTAGATAGTGGCTATTAACACACTACGAAAGAATAGACCAACATTCATTCTGATACCAATGAAACAAGACTAAATTCTTTTAAAGATCTAAAATCCTTTCAGTCTATAGCAACATAAATCTTACTATAAAGTAGGGCAAAATGAATCAAAATAAAATTGAATAGAATTAAACAAAATAGGACATAAAAGATAAAACAAAGCAAAAAAAATAAAACACAATACAATAAAAAATACAAACCAAACTTTACTGAGAAAAAAGAATCAAAGTTATACTTGATTGAATGCTTGAAATAGCCTCAATTAGTCTTATTTATATTTTATCTAATCATCCTAAAACTTTATAGAATATTTTTAATGGTAGGTTCAACCGAAATAATTACTCTTTTAGAATAATTTAGAAGTAGGCCCTAACTTGGTAACCACCTTCTTAAAAGAATCTAAAGGTGGATCCTACTTTGATAACTGCCTTGCAAAAAATTTCTAGAGGTGGATCATACCTAGATAACCATCTTTAATTCCTCTAAGGTATTCTATGGTGGATCCTATATTGACTACCAATTTGGCTTTAATTTTAAAAAATAAAAATAAAAAATAAAAAATAAAATAAATGACCTCAATTACCTATTTTTATGTATTAATAAGATAGTTATCTTATCTATGTCTCATTACACTTTATGAATGAGAGATTTGTAAGGAATGAGGCTGATCATTCCTTGTATGGGATGCAATCAAATGAGTTCATATTGATTATTATCCTCTATGTAAATGATTTAATCATATTGAATAACAATATAAAGAAAATAGATTAGTTGAAGACAAAGTTAGAGAAGGAATATGAGATAAATGATTTGAAAAAGCTCTACTATCATTTAAGAATGAAATTTCTAAGAGATTGTAGTAACAAGACTATTACAATGAGCTAAAGCAAGCACATTAAAGAGATGTTAAAACAATGCAATATGAAAAAATGTAAGTCCATTAAAACACCTTTAATAGCCAATTTGAAGTTGATGAAGCTTATGGATGAAGAATTTGCTCACATTGAAGATAATATAAAAGATATTCTATATGAGGCAATAAGAGGTTCACTTATGTATGCAATGGTTGGCATAAGGATGGATCTTGCATATACGGTGAGTGTTATATGTCAACACATATGAAAGGCTGGACTAATCCATTAAGTAACCATCAAGAGGATTATGAAGTATTTGAAAGGTACTTTAAACTTCAAAATTTGTCTTAAAAGACATAATATTGCATTACATGGTTATTATGATGTGGATTGGATTGAAGATGTAAAGATAGAAAGTCAACAATATGATATATATTCTTTACTAAAGTAGGAGTAATCTCATGGAATTATAAGAAACAACCAATAATTACAAAGTCTACAATAGAGGCAAAATACATGGCAACAAATCAAGATACAATAGAGGCATTTTGGCTAAAAAACGTTTTAGAAGATATTAGACTTGTGTAATTGAAAGCAACTCCAATGAAGTATGATAATCAAGGATATCTTACTTTTATAAAGAATTTAAAGTATCATTCAAGAACCAAGAACTTAATTCAATAATAGATGAATATCAAGTACATTAGATGTAAATTCCTCCTATAAATAAAGAATGTTGAAAAAGAGAGGCATCTCATTTCACTCTTGTCTTGTATATAACCATTTTGATTTAAACTGACTTATATCTTATTTAGTGAATTTCTTCAATAATTTCAAGTTTTTATGAATAATTATTAATCATGTTTTTTTTTTTTTTTTTTTTGAAAGCCAATTAGTTTTGACATACTTGATTCCTACATATGTATTCTTTATGTTGCAATAAAGAGAATCAATTTCAATCATCATCCTCTCTACTTGAATTCCAGCCATTACTTCTAGATTCTTTTCAATGAGCACCCATTGATACCTGTCGATTTGAATAGAGCCAACAGAAATTCATCAAATTTTCTAGTTATACATTCTACTACAAGGGAAATTTTCAGTTAAACCTTTTTCAGTTAATGTAGCAGATTATGGCAGTCCAAGTCTGACGTTGAAGCCAAGAAATTTACCAATATAAAGGTTAGGAATAGCTAGTAGCTGATCCCTTTCTTAGCTAGTTCCTGTGAAAGAATGCACTACACCTGCAATAAATCTGGTGACACAAAGAAAATAATTAATTGACAAAGACCCTGAGTACGACTGCCATTGAGGAGCCTTTTCCCAGTCAAAAGACTATTATAAGACATCAGACTGAACAGTCAACCTGTGTTGATTGCATTTGATAATGTCAAGAAAGTCGGAAGCAGCGGCCCTCATGTGAAGGAACATAGGTAATTTTGTCGCCTCAGCGATCTCGAATTGCCTTTCAAAATAACTGCAAAACCAGTAATTTTAATAAAAACGCATATAACGTATTACTCAAGACTGAGAACGACTCCTAATACCAAAATCTTGAAAAGTAGTTTACTCTCTGAGGTAAAAATAACTTGTTTAAAATAGTATGAAAACAAACGTACCGGCGCTGAGTCTCAGCTGAGACAAAATTGGAGGCGATCATAGTCCAAGCCACACTCACCAACTGCTACAACCTGTTATTCGTATACTGCACCTAGTATACTGCACCTCGCGTTACTTCAAGTGATGTCCCTTTTGCAAACTCTAAAATTAACATGAGTGCTTGCTTAATGTTGACCACATTACTGGACAGGTATTACCGACTTTACATCCAGCTTCTCAAAGCCAGAATATGGTCATGCTCAACAAAGCTTCTTTGAAAGAAGCTCACACGGTTAAAGTCAACATTACATTTCAAGCTTGTACTCAAAGAAAGAGCCAGAAGTAAATGCAGATATCCATGTGATGAGTCAGTACCTTCCCTCTGGCAACACCATCTATAGTGAGTTGCAAAAGGTCCTGCAAATGCTTCTCTGAGTCTCCACTCTCCTCAAATTCCTGGGAAATCACAAAGCCATCCCAATTTCAGATCATCATTAAATGCACAATCAGTGGCAAAATGTTCTGAAATCATGAGGATGATGTACTTTTCAAAGCAACAGTTTCAACTTGAGAACTCTAGATCCTCCTTGTGGGATTCACACGCTTACAAGCGAAGGTACCAAATATAGGCTGTTGATACAGGTCACACCGTGCATCTAACTGTAAAGAATAAACGGTCTGCATTTCTTCCAACGATGTGATGTCATGCGGGCACATCCCATGGCAGCAGGACATGGTATTGCAAAAGAGATTTCATTCAAACGGACACTAACGTTCGAAGCACCCTTACAGATGTCTGGTGTACAAAACGAAACAAACTGTGCGACGCTACAGAACTGAAATATGATCAAGACTTCATTGTTTTTTCCTGTCCAAATTTCAGACCAGATATAGAGACAATTTAAGGATCATCCAGCATTACAGGATGCATTTGATCATTTTTTTGTTGGAAACCGCCGCTTCCTTGACAGATATATTCCTTAAAGAAAATTTGAAGAGGCCATACCATCTATGTCAGTCAAAGACAAGGCCTCCTTCGACTCCTTCAAAGATCCTCCTGTCACCTAATCGGCAAAACCACAATCATCAAAGTTATGACAAATACATCGATCACAGATTCATATATTGTTCTTTATTTCACAGTTTTGATACACAAAGAGAATAAAAAATAGAAGTATGTCGTACATGCACGTAGAGCACAACCGTCTTATTCATGATACATATTACTAAGTTTCAGCAAAATTTCTTGAACAGCATCAACAAGTCCTTCTGCTGTCCAAGATTGAAAACTCGAAGCTTATCTATACTTGTCAGAGAAAACAAGAGTATAGGGCAAAGTAGGTAAGACTGTGCCGCATTTAGTCTCACAATGATACGAATAAGTCCAGCATCCCAAGCTCGCTGCAATACGTGAACAAGATCTGGCGGAGGGCACTTCTTGCCATGGTAGCTCCCGGAAAACATGCCATCTGATACCAGAAAATCACTCAAAAAAAAGATGAAGCAAGACAAGCAAGCTCCAGATCAAGAAAAAATCGTCAATCCTGGCAGAGAAAATATCTGGAAAGAAATTTTATGGACTTGAATCCACAACCCCTGAAACCCTTTACCCTTGAACAAAATTGATACTTATTTGAGGAATAAAAAACTATTTTAACAAAAGAAACCACTAAAAGTAGAGAAGTTACAAGGACTAAACAGAAACCCTACAGCAGGTACAAAACCTCATAGCCAGAAGCAAATTAAAATGTACCCGTAAGATTGGCTCCAATATCTGCAAAACATCATCCCAACAAGTCAGTCAGACAACAAAAAAGAAAAAGTGGTATCAACACAGCTAATGATGCCACAAATTCAGCACATTTGATGGGAAATTTAAAACCATGGGTACAACCTGCAGCGAAACATAATATTATATTGAATGGCCGCATTTGTGAAGCTAGAACGCATCATCCTTACCACCCAGAATGAACAGAATCCCTCTAACACATGTTATCATGGTAAAACCATGCACATATACCGCCTCAACTATTCCTTAGTTCTTCTAAATCTTGAATGCAATTGATAATTTCTCTTCGTATCGCACCAATGCACATTAGTCTAATCGACATTGTGGCTTCTAGGTCACACTGCGTGTAAGTAAATGCAACCCAGTCTCGCAAAATATAGAGTTTTGAAACGAGCTATAGTAGACTACTGGCCTCAGTTGCAAATGTTACGTCACAATCTGGGTGATAAAACTAGAATCATGAAACGGTCAACGTGCCAATAAACTTGGGTTGAAGCGTCAGATCCATTTCTCAAACGCTCACGCTCGCTCAGGTAAAGACACACAAGGTCCCTCGCTGCTGCTCTCAAATCGTGACCTGGAGCAGATAATGGAAGTGGTCACTGGTTCTTTTCTACATCCTTCCATTCTAGAACTCTGTCCATCACGACTTCCTATAAAAAGTTGCTGCACAAAATCACACAAGTGATGAAATTGGAAAAAAGAATATCAAAACTCAAGCATCATCACCGCAGTGTGAACAGGATAATCTCCATGTGTTGCTGAGGTAGTTTCTGGGTTTCCGGCTCGTTCCGATGTCAATGTAGCAACTTCAACCTTCGAAAATATCCCAACCCCTTGATAATTTGTCAAGTTTAGGAGGCAGGGCAGGTTTTAAGATATTTTGGAATGAAGTGAGCGACATCCCAATATGTTATGCATGAGAAAATGCTATGTCGAATTGATAATTTTGCTAAATTTATGAGAGAGCCAGGAATCAACGATGAACACAAACAAAATATCTTCCACAAGATATTAATTTAATATGATTAGAAGAAAATTATAATCATCAAAATCAAAATATTAAAATCAAAATATTGAAGGACAATTTTAGAAAGAAAGAAAGAAAAAAAAAAACCAACATAAATAGTAATAATAATAATAATAACAATAATAATAACTAATATACATTACTAATTATTTTTATATCATATTATTTAATTATTTTAAAATATGTTAAATCAAATGAATTCAAATTTGCTTTGAGTCCCTTATTTGATATTTCTAAAGCTATATTGACAACAAACAAAAAATACAATTAAATGTAAACAACCACTTGAATGTTTGTAGAAATATTAAAGATTAATAAATCTTAGATTAATTACCACTACTTATAATTTAATCTAAGTAAGTTGCTACTGATCAAAAGGCATCAAAGGTTCAAGGAAAATTATTAGAGTGTTGGTGAAGTTTAAAGAAATCTAGGACTTGATTGGATGAAGCAAAGTAGGATGATGTTAAGAACATGAATTTCAAACAATCAAAATGGCAATACACTTTTGTATCCCTTGAAAAGAGTAGATATTCACTCAAAAGTAGTGTAGATTTAATGGTAGAATGACTATTATGAAAAATAAGAAGACAAGAGACTCTTGAAACAAGATCAAGAATAAAAAAGGCATTGACAAAAGTGAAGAAGGTCTTACTCATGCTTCTATATACACTATCTATAGGAGCTATGAGGTAATGTTCTACAGGACTTTTGGCACATGTCCAAATTGCAAGAAACATTTATAACTTACAAGATAAGTTTCCTATGTATGTGCTACATGGCCAACTTATTGGCAAAATTTTCAACTTACCAATCATCAATTAACACATATAAAACCAATTTGCATTTATAAAGCTTTTAAGAGACTAAATCTAGAAGATATTATCAAATTTACTTACTTGTACTTATGTTTATTTAGATAAATATACATGTGTATGACATTACTCTTTCTTTTAAAAACAAGTTCGACATGAAGTAAAAATCACATAATGAGGAAGTCTAAGATGCAACAAATTAATTTTGTTGTATACTCTTATCTTTGTTATTTTTGAAGATAGTTGATAAGTCTTCTCAACCATTATTAATATCTCATAATAAGACAAAAAAATATTCCCTTATTTGATAACTATTAAGGTTTTAGAAATTTCTTTCAAATAAAATATGTAAAATATTATCATATATGGATCATAGCTTTAATAATATCACTAAACATTGAAAGTCTATAATTAAAACTTTGATATCAAATACATTATATCTCACCATCTATTTAATGAAGAACATGTCGTTCTTCAAGATCTTTATCTCTATTACATTGTCTTGAAGCCTATAACAATTTCAATGCTTCATCTAAAAACTTATCAAAAAATAGCTTATATATTGAATCTTTTAATTGTTGATTTTTCATCTTTTTAGTCCCACAAATATAAAAAAAAATTACAGATAAAAATAGAAGATAGAATACAATCTTCAATAAATATATATATTTATTTATTTATTTTTATTCTTTATCGTTATTTTAAAAGATTAAAAAAGTATCAACTTTATTTAAAACATTACTAAGATTCTTAATTGGCTTTCATATATGTTCACTAATATTATATTTGTATATATGTATAAGATATTCCAACCTATTTTGGCACCACCTTAAGTGTAAGACTTCTTCTACTTCAAAATCTTAATTATAGTCAATTTTTATAAAAAAAAGAAAAAAGTGAAATTTGTCTTCTTTTTGATATATCTACTATCTTGTATAATTCAAAAAGAATAAATAGAATACAAGATAGATCTTTATAGACTCTTATAGGTATAATCCATAAGCAATTAGATTGATCTATTGACAAATAATAAATGGTTTGAGTCCATGATAATCCAACTTGTGATAAAAACAACTAATCTTTATGTTACAATAGAAAAACCATACTTTATTTCCAACTCGGAATTAAGGTTATTTTTTACAATAAACATCTATATTAATATTTTATTGTTCTTAAGTTTTTTTTAATTGTATCTTTATTTTTACAAGTAACTCTTATAAATGATTTGCCAAGTCATTTATTATAGAATTATCAATTTTTGAGAAGTCACAAATATCAAGTTATAGATAATAATCATAATTAATAAAATATATATATATATATATATATATATATAATATATTATTACAGGCAAATTTTGTCAATATAAAAAAAATTATCTAATCATCTTAACGGTAATTGATGGTATATCTCAAATACTATTCTAAAACTTAATTTACCTATTATGTTTGTCTATTGATTTGAAGTTAAAAATTAGAAGATAGTTTTATGTCTAAATTAGTGGTTGAAAAAGTTTTTGAGGTCAAAGATATAAAGTTTTTGATTTTGAATAAATATCACATGATTGTACAAAGTCTTTAACTACCTTTTATATTTGAAGCCATCAAAAATATCTTGATATTAATTCCAATATCTTATTGTATCCAAAATATCCTGCAACTATAAAATTGTAAGTAGCTTGAAAAATATGTAGTTGTGTTTTATCTTCTAAAATATGTAAGTGTTTTTCAAATAGTGTAGATTTTTTTTAATTCAAACTTAAAAATATTATGAAATTTAGAAGAATTTTTTTTATTATCTTTAATAAAAAGATCCAAAAATATATTTAATTAAATTTAATCAAAAAAAGTTGAATCAATAGTCAATATTGATTTTATTATATAAGATGAAATTGCTTCGGCTTTAAAAGAGTAGTACATTGTTGATTAAAATTTATATCTTCTTCTTTTGGTATAAAATAAGAATACCTAGAACGAATATTTGATAAATCTTATTTTTTTAATCAATAAATAATCTTGAATTTAAATCTTAGCAAAAACATGGTCTAATAGATTTGATAATGATTCAAAATATATATTGATATGAAATACTTGAAGTTCTTATAATTTGTTTAAATAGTTACTTGACTATAAGTACCTTCAAAATAATGGTGCTATTCTTGAAATGAATCCACAATCAAAAAAAGTTCTTTTTTTTTATTATTTTAATATTAATCTTAATTATTACAAAAAAAATTAAATAAAAAGCTATTAAGTGAAGTTTGTCATTTGTTTCCATTTGTGTCAATATCGCATTCAAAATAATGTCTAATTGAGCTATTTCCATAAAAAAAAGGCATTAAAATAGTTGACACAATACAAGATTGGTGTACAAATAAAAACTATCTTTAGAACTTCAAATACATCTTCAACTTCTTTATTCCACTCAAGGTTGTCTTTACAAGTCAAACATCTAAATGAAGTTGCAACTTAAGAAAATTTCTTGATAAAAATTAGATGATAATTGGCAAATTTTAAAAAAATATTAGAAATCTCTTATTGTTCTTAATATTTTCCAATCCATGATAGTTTAAACTTTCTTAGAATCCATCGTATAACTATCATTTAAAATTAATTTTTACTTAAGATCAAGTTAATTTCTTAAGATCAATTTTTTTTACAAAGTTTTTATATGATTGTATATCTTGTTTATGAAGAAAAAAGATGGATCACTATGGATGACTATGGATTATTGAGGATTTAACAAGATTACCATCAAAAATAGATATCTACTACTTTTGATATTGTGACTTTTTGATCAATTGAATTAAGCAAAGATTTATATAAAAAAAGATCTACAAGGAGTATACAAATTTGATACACATAAAAAATGAAATGAATAGAAGATTGTATTTTGAATTGGATATAGATATTTTGAATAGAATGTCATGCATTTTAGACTCATAAATGTTCTAACTATTTTTTAATATCTAATTAATAATATTTCTTGAAAAATTTTAGATGATTTTATTATTTGTTATCAAGAAAATATTTTAATCTAATCTAAGAATATAGAAGAGAATATACATCATGTTTATTGTGTGTTATAAAAACTTAGAGATGCAAGACCAAATAGAAATGTTACATGTACCAAGGGGCGCCTGGGAAGATCCTTTAAGAACGTTCAGGAAAATAACCTTCAATAACAACATCCTGGCCTACCATGTGACTGGACACTCTCTCTAATTTGACTAGATCACTGTCCATGCGGAAGCATGGTTCAGTTCTGTTCTCTCCAAGAAATATAGGCGCTACCTGCACAACCACTTTTTGAGCCGCCTCTTCATCCAGGGCTTGCTGTCCCAGGAAGTTCTCCAGGCCTGAAGATACAGGACCCCTAGAATCTAGTAGAACCGAGGTGGCTCCGAGCTGGTAACACACACTCAAGACATTCTCCAAGGTTAAATCGTTCATCATCACTACATCCACGCCTCCCGCTCGTAACCTGGCTTCTATAGATTTCCCATCTGCACTCTTTCTCTGGATGTCGTCAATGCATGATTTCTGGTCGGCCAGCACCAGGGTCTTGGCATACGATGTGTCAAAGACTTTCGACTCCACTGGCAGATCCAGAGACCTGCACCCACGAGAAATATTCCCTTAAACCCATTACTTTTCATTCAGTTCTATGAAATTACATGCTGACAAGATTCTAAAGGAGTTGTGGAATATCCCAGTTGATCATTAGAACGTGCACTACAGATAGAAAACAAATGCGGCGACAGAATGGTAACATCAAGCAAATTACCTGGCAAGGATCACGCGCAGAGGTTGCTTGGCGCCTGGCTCAGAGGAGAGGAGATCTGGATCATCTAAGACAGCCGCATCTGTAATCACGACAGCATCATTCTCCTGCAACAATTTACTGTATAGGCCTCCTTGTGCATTGCTAAGCCCCATGTTTCCCAAAAACCCACCGTCCATTGACATGGAATACCTAAAATACCAGGAATGATTGGCCGAGTAGATGGATCAGTTACGTCCAGCTGAATAACATAATTAAAATGGAGTAGATACATAAAGGAACGAAATTGTATTATCATGAATTGAAGGGACAAGCAAAATGATCAATTTCAACGAACGTGAAATTTAAAGCAACTGCAGGTACATGGATTCGTGCGAAATAACGTATGCTCTTCCTGGGAACTAATGAAAAGTAAGAGAGGAAGAGTGACAGACATACCGAAGGGTGACAAAGGGCCGACCAGTGGCCATCCGGTGCATAAAGCTTTCATTTGCTTTCAAACAAAGCGTTTCCTCCACACCCACCACGACTTCAATTCCTGCATTTCGTAATGTCTTGATGCCCTTTCCTGTATCAAATAAAAATCAAAGCATTGAATTTACAGCAGCAACAGATCGGCAGTACGAGAACCATGTTCATCTCCAGCCATCGTATCATCTACCAAAACAAGAGATGGGTGTATTCCAGCGAATAAACCTACCTCCAACTTGAGGGTTTGGATCGACGACACCGACAACCACACGCTTCAGCTTAGCCTTCACTAATGCCTGACTGCAGGGCGGGGTCCGACCGTAGTGGTTGCACGGCTCAAGACTGACATAAGCGGTTGCACCCTGTGCCAAGGGCCCTGCTTCTCTCAAGGCGAACACCTGCCACCACAAGATGAGGTTGCTCTTCTAAGGACAAACTCAAGTCTTGGACAGTGTAACATATGATGAATGCCAACTTCAATGAAACCAAGGAAAATGATTTATTCTGGAGCAAATAACCTTGGGATGAACATTCTCCCACCACATTACTATATGATGCTTGTAGTTCTCAAACAAATAAAAGAGGACCAGTGCTATAAAAACTAGATGGATTCAAAACTTCAACAAACACCTCCTTTGTGGAATACAAGTTCATGTCACCACATTCAGCTAGAAAACCTTCGAGGGTTGAAGAAAACTGTGCCATTCGGAAGCTTACCTCAGCATGAGGTTCTCCAGCCTTGGGATGAAACCCGCGGCCAACAATCCTGCCATCCTTGACAATAACACAACCCACAATTGGGTTGGGTGAAGTTTTTCCAACTGCTTGCCTTGCAAGATCCACACACATCCTCATGTAAAATGCGTCCACTTCTGTTGCCCCTTGCGGCAATATGGACTCCCCACTTGCATTAGGCGCTGATGAAATTGCACATCTGATTGAAATCATCTTATTTGAGTAGGAGTGCCTCCTGAAAACGAGAAGGTTTGACATCGCATTGCTTGACGCTCTGTTTCTAATTGCTGAAAAATTGGCCAAGAAGCTTGAAGATAATGATATCCAATGAATATGCGAGGATTTACAACTTGGTGCAAGGACACCGATTCGGAGAGAGGGTAAACGGAGGGAAGGGAGAGTGCGCAGAGGTCGTCCAAGAGAAGTGGTTGTAGATGCAACGGAGCTCCTAGTGCCCGTGCCAGCTTGAACGGAAGATAACGAAGGCGCCATAGCCACTGTAGTATTCACAGTGTACATCCAATCCTGCGGATTCTACACAATTAGGATGAGACGTGCAAGAGATCAAAACCCAATATCTGCATTCACAACTACAACGTTCGGTCCTCATACACATCTAAAAGACACTACACAACTGTTCAATAGAAAGACATTCACAAAGCAGAGACCACAAATGCCTGCAGCTAAGAATTCACGAGAAAAATGGTTCCAATTACATTCTAAACATGCATTGTGGAAAGAGCATCAATACATTTTGCATATTCTCAAGAGAAGATAAGTGAAAAGGAGAGAAGAAACTGTAACTATCAGAGGGTATGCACTGCATTAAAACAGATGCCGAAGAAACAACTAAGATCCATCCCCTCACTTGAGAATCCAAGAAATCGAAAATATAACCTAGGATTACAGAGGATCAGGCTCCGAAATAGATATATGAACCAAACAGAAAAACATACCCACATACCCGCAAATGCCAGGCGAGCCGGAGACAGATATCACACTGAAGAAAATAATGACGGGTCTTGGTGGAATTTCCGACAGCAATCGGAAAAGTACAATGTGAAGATGTTCAATAATCAGTCACACGCTAAGCCAACACCTGATGCTGGAATCTGAAGCTGAGCCTCCTCTGCGAAGAAATTCGACTGCCCGAACCAAGAGGCGCCGGCTGGCAATCATCTACATCCAAATTTAAGGGGTCTACGCCAGCCCAAATGAAGTCCTATCGAGTCCATGTCGAGTTTGTCGAGCTGAGGACTTTTGAACCTAGGCTCAGGGTTGGTTCGGTGGAGCCGCGGGGGATGGACAGATGGATGCACAGATGCCCGCATGGATGGATCAGCCGCCACTGCTTCCACACGTCGACCGTCCCCCTTCCCCTACTTTGCATTAATCTATCAAATTGCCGTAGACTATTTAGTTTTATTTTATTCTTTTAGCTTATTAAATTAAAAATATTTTAAAACATTATTATTATTAATATTTACATAAATATGTATTTACAGTGACAAACAAAACCGAGTACAAAATCTGAAGTGCCAACTTTCAAGAGCAATTACAGAAATTTCAATGATTGCTTTATAAATCTGAAAGTTACATGGAATAATACACACAGTCTTGTACACATGTACAAAGTTGCACATCAAATTGATAACTAAACATCCTTCTACAAAGTCAAATCAACAACTATGTCTTGTACTCAGTATTGTTCAAAGAAAATCTTCAAACTTCAATATTTAGTCCAATAATCTTTTGCTTCCAAAACAGCTGAAATCCTTCTTGGCATACTTTTGTATAGTTTCTCACAATCTTTTGCATCAAAACTAGGGTAAATACTACAAACATTCTCCCACAATTCTTGAACACCTCTTGGTCTTGGAGTGACTTGGCTTAAACGCTGTTTGAGAAGGGCCCAAAAATGTTCCATTGGATTCAAATTTGGAGATTGAGCTGGCCATCGAAGGAGCTGAAATGGCTGTGAAGAGAGCCACAACTGAACACTTTCTGCCATATGTTTGGGATCATTATCACGTTGAAAAAACACCTTAGTAGGATCTAAGTTGTAATTCTGTGTGGTACTTTACAAGTAGGTTTCTAAATTTTTTTTGTACAAGTGTTGCTCCATTCTACCTTCAATTTGATACCAAGCACCTGGCCCAAAAGCAGTCATACAATCCCAAATCATAATTGAACCACCACCATGTTTGATAGTTTGACTAACATGTTTAGGTCCAGGTCGTTCTCCTTCTCTCAACCAATACTAAGACCTACCATCTGAGTTGATTAGGTTAATCTTTGTCTCATCACTGAAAATAAGCCGTCTCCAATCATCAATGGTCCAATTTTTGTATTTATGAGCAAAACTCAACCTTGCAAGAACATGTCTTTTGGCAAGTAGAGGCTACTTTTGTTGCATACAAGCACCCAAACCAGCTTCTCTCAAACCATGCCTCAAGGTGATGTCTCAGAAGTGTTTACCTATTTTTTTTCAAAGTTGTTTTGCAACTGCACTTGCCATTTTGAGACAACCAGCAGTGACAAGGTGCACACCAAGTCGCTTCTCTTGCTCTCCTAAAACCTTTGGACGTCCTCCTCTTTGCTTTTCTATTTCACCACTAATCTCCCTCCTCAGATGAGCTACTGAAGGCTGACTCATTCCAAGTGAGTCTGCAACTTTTCTTGTAGAAACACCACTCCTAAGCTGCACCAATGCTTGATGCTTCAATGATTCACACAACCGAGGCATAGAGATACAATTGACAAATCAACTTTCACTATAGATAGTACACAACAAGAGCAAGACAACAAACAAAAAATGCCCTCAAATCTTGCAACAAGGAGTGTACATTAAAATTTCGAAATTCGGCAAGAAGAAGTAACCAAAACTGAGTACGCACGTCTGTGTGCTTCTACAACACTTTTCTCATAAACCCTACCTCAAATGATAATGAGATTTTTCATCCATATAGAGGACTGGATGAATACACACAATAAAAAAGTAATTCTATCAATTGACTTATGTGTCAGTTGGAAGGATCAATGAACTATGAGTATTCAGATTTTGTACTCGGTTTTGTTTGTCACTGTATATACTAGCAAAAACATATGTGATATAACATGTCTATTAGATGAAAGAGTGAAGAAAATATCATACTAGTGAAAATATTATTTCACAATATTGTAACAAATTATTTTATAGATAATAGTCAAATTTAGTAAAATTAAGAGTGCAAATATTGCCTTTTAGAAAAATGGGCTTTTATTTACTTTGTAGGACCATAAATAAGACAAAATAAAGAAGATTAAATATATATATATATATATATATATATATATATGTACAATTAAGAGTTGATTTCAGCAAAAATTACTTCAAGAAAAGAAGAATTGTTACCCGGAAAGGATTGGTTGCCAACTATGATTGAAATGAGAATCAAAGGCACAAAACTATGTACTTATGGCAATTTTAGGATTTTTTTGCAAATTAAAGAGTGGAATTTGAGAGAAGACTTCATAGGATTTTTTTGAGCATGATTTTTGAGCAATTTGAGTTTGTAATGACATTCTAAGAACTTTGGAAAATGGGAGAATTTTATAAATTTGGTAGTAGATCCATGGATAAAAATTTGTGGGTTTGTGTTTATAATTGTCCTTATTGCGTGTTGTAATTTTGAGCATGATTAAAAACAATTAGATTGAAGGTTATTGAAGTTGAAAAGGACTAGGGTCTCAAAAATGGAGTTTTAAGGGTTACTGAGAGTTTCTAAGATTTTTAGCAATTTGCTAATTGGATTGAAATGAAATTTGCACAAGTAGATAGTAGACTTAATTTTTAACATATATGTGAATTTTGAGAGGTATTTAATGTTGGAATTAAGAAATTTTGGCTTAAGAAAATTGACATGAAAATTGGAGAAGGAACCAACCAATAATTAAGTGGATTTTAGGATTTATCTTTTATTTGATAAGTTTGATCTTCTTAAAAACGTTTGTGCTTATTGCTAGCTTAAGTTTTGAAAAGTATACAAAATTTGAATTAAAATCAATAGTTTGATTTTTAGTTATGGAAGTTTCAATTTGCCATAGGATTTTTTAAGAATTTTTATACGATTTAGAGTTGGTTTAGGATTTAGGATTTGATTACAATTTATCAAGGATTTACTTAAGATTTGATTAGGATTTATTTAAGATTTTATTCGAATTTATTAAAGATTTTATTACGATTTTTTTAGAATTCGATTAAGATTTTTTTAGGATTTCTTTAAAAAAAATTTAGTATTTGATTAGAATTTGTCAAGAATTTAATGAAGATTTTTTTAGAGTTGTTTAGGAATTCATTCAGATTTGTTTAGGATTTATTTAGGATTTGATTAGAATTTATCTAGGATATGATTAGTATTCAATTAGAATTTTTTTCAAATTTTTTTGTATTTTTTTTAGAATTTATTTAAAAATTTAATAAGACTTGATCAATGTTTGATTATTTTTTTTAAGCTTTAATTGTAATTTATATATGATTCTATTGAAAATTTTAAGACTTGTTGTTGCAATTTTCTTTTACCTTCTACAAATAGGTGCATGCCGCATTCTCAAGGAAGGCTTCACATAATATGACATTGTATTAAAAGAATAATACTAATGCTAAAAAAAAATTCTATTGCCACCAAAACTTGTCACTTACCATACATCACATAATACAATATATTTCTCTTGACCAATGTTGTTATTATATTATATAAAATTTAATATAAAAATTAAATGAACATCTAGTTGTAGAAAGGTTTCAACTTACCTTAAAGTTATTTTTTTAATTAAAAAGAATATATGAGGTATTTAAAAATACTCATTTTAATAATTGTAACTCTCTTAAAATTTTCAATTCAATTATTTTAAATCTCTAAGATAGTTGAGTGTATTTCAAGCTATCATAGGCATACATATTTATTCTAATATTCATTTATATAATTAAAAAGATTTATTTTATAATATTTTTTAGAAATACTTCTTAAAAGTTTCATAGATGTTGCTTTGACTTTACATGTGTTTGTAATTGATTGGCAGGTTAGATACTTAGTCAATAAGTTAACCACGTATTGGTAGCTTGATAAATAAGCTAACTATGTGGTGCACATATAGAAAACTTGCTTTGCAAATTAAGATATGTATCTTGTAAAATCAATATATTTTAGAGGTCCTATAGGATATCACCATATAACTCATAGTTAAGAATATATACGGAGGTAAGAGTGAAGCCTTCTTTACTCTTATCAACACCTTTTTAGTCCTCAGTCTTGTCTCAAAACTTCTAAATCTTTTTATCTTTAAGAATAGCCATTCTAGTTTAATATGATATCATCCTTATTGTATCTTGCTGGAATTGAAGTCTTCATAGTATTGGGCTCTTCTATCATGGCAACTTCTTCTCCTTCTTCACTTTGAGAATGCACTTCTTTATCTTCTTGTTTGTTTGTTGGAATTGAAGATGTGTCCACAAACACACCACTACTCCCACTTGGACACATCTCCCACTTTTCACTACCACTCATAGATGGTGTCCTCATGGATCCACAAACATCCGAATGCACAAGCTCCAGCAATTGGTTTGCTCTTGTTGCAACTCCTCTAGGAAATGGTGTCCTATGTATTGAGAAAAGAACTCTTTAAGTAGTTGCTAATGGTCAATAGAGTACAAGTGTTGTTAAGGATATCCCATAAGGTAGGGTGCTTGTCTATAGTGCATTAGAGTACAAGGGGAGGGCTGGTCCAAGGAGATATCCCATATGGATTGTAGCACTTGGTACCTTGGTACTAGTATATAAGGAAAGAGTTGGCATGGGAAGAATCATCTCATACCACACTCTATTTGTTATAGTGCAACCTTGCTGGTCCTAACTTACTTGTGTGGAGTATGCTTTCTATGTTTCAATAGGTTATGGGCCCACATTCTCTTACCAAGTAAGTTGTTCTTGCATTTTATTTTCTTTGTTGTTTGTTTGGTGGTTGAGATCTTATGGTATAGTATTACTAGTGTTTTTTTGAAGTCATTACTCCTGGATTTGTGAGTGTATGAGGTTAGTGCAAGATCTTGACAGTGTCTTTGCTGAAGTAACACTAGTATTTGAGAGTTTTATGAGAAATTGAGTCATTTTGAGTGAGGTGATGTGAGGGAGATGTTTGAAAGCCATAGAATTACATGACATAGCATTTCCCACCATTTAGACGTGATTTG